ATCTCTATCTCTCTTCTGCTTAACTTTCGCTACCTTATCTTAGAACTCAAGCAGATTTGTGAGATAGAACTTACCCTGTGACCCTGTCCTGTCTAACAGTTCTCTAAGTATTCAGTATGTTACCATGTCACCACTAGCTCTTACTTTTTCTGATGCCATTAGGTTTACCTCCCTTAATTTCTTCTTGACACCCCTTAGCTCTGGGACTAGTCTCGTTCTAAACCTCTGCACTTTCTCCAATTTCTAAAAATGCTTGATCAGGTGTGGGTCCCATACTGGTGCTGCATTCTTCAGCAAGGACAGTGTCGTGAACGATTCCTTTCTTCGGCTCCTCGATGCAATACTCACCCCGAGGACCTTCTTGTTGAGTGAGATTTTGCACTCTTTGCCCTCAAAGTCTGCACTCCGTTTTCTGTATTCTTTATAAATTTCCTATTTTCGTAACTATACAAAAGTAGAATGACCCATGTGGGTTTAGCGCTTAACATACTTAACCTGTTTGCATTTTCCTCATTAAGTTCACCTTATCTGAGAACAGGGGGATACCTCAGACTATCCCTTCCATTATCTTGTTCACGTACAAGAAATAATACCGGTTCCAGTATTAATCCTTGTGGAACCCCACTCGTCACACGCTCCCATTCCGACACTTCTTCTCGGACAATCACTCGTTTTCTTCTTTTTAATCATTCCTTGATCTACAGTAGTGCCTTCCATGTTGTTCTTGCCTGCTCCTCTAGCTTTTATCTCAACACCTTGTGAGACATCGTGTCAAAAGCCCTCCTACAGGCCAGGAATATGCAATTTATCCATCTCTCTCCTGCCTTACTTCTGTTACCTTGTCCAGGAACTCTCAACAGGTTTGTGAGACAGGAGTTACCATATGTAAACGTCTGCTGGTTGTTGTTGCTGGTGTGTGTGTGTGTGTGTGTGTGTGGTGCACTCGCGCGAGTACTACAATGTGTGCACGTGAGTGAATACAAGACTGTACGTGTGTTTGTGTGTGTGTGTTCGCGCTTACTACGGTGTGTGTGTGTACGTGTGTGGGTTGGCTACTTCTAACTAACCCCCCCCCAACACCCGCCTAATTTATTCCCCCGCCACCCCTCCCTGCCACCCCTCCCCGCCACCCCTCCCCGCCACCCCTCCCCGCCACCTCGAAAGTGTGCGTCAGTTTTCAAGTCTTCGCTAAGTTCTGCTTAATTTCCTGCCGCTGCCGCTACCCTTCAGGTAGGCAAGAGGACAGTGCCATCATGCAGAGGCTCGCAAGTTGAGAGATAATGAGAGAGATACAGAGATAAAGAGAGATAATAAAGCTGGAGTGTGTTGTAGTGATGATGGGAGGGGGGCCCCGTCCCGACCCTGCCGGCACGCGCCCTGGTCGCGCGCCGCGCCACGCGCCCCAGAGACCTACCACCTCGCGCTTCTCCCTCGATTATAACACGCGAAATATCGCTCTACGAGCATCATTTCGCTGCTCAGTCAATTACATCTCGTGGTTAACTATTACATTTCGCGATCTGTCGAGACTATATTCATTTACGGTTGAAACAGAGCGTTTAAATGAAATATTTACTTTTCCGGTGGCGTGAGTTGGTCGGTCAGCTGGCGGCCAGGGGCGTGGCTTAACCTTCCGAGGTTATAAATAAAGGCGCGGCGCGTTTTTGGGGTAGTTAGTAGAGGTCCATCGTAGGTGCCGCACGTGTCACTCCAGCAGGATGTCGGCCACCACCACACAGCGTCTGGTGCCTATCCGGCCGTCGCCCCACAAGAGCCTGACTGTCCCAAAGACCGTCACGGTGATCACCACAGCCGGCTCCCCGGCCACCCTCACGCCGCCCAAGACCGGGATTAAACGGAAGCTGTCGGAGACTAGCCCCGATCCGGTGAAGTGCAAGAGACGTATCAACTTCGGCGTCGGATACGTCGTGTCGCCAGCGCCTGTGGCTGTGGCGCGGCGCAACGCGCGCGAGAGGAACCGGGTGAAGCAGGTCAACAACGGCTTCGCCACCCTCCGTCAGCACATCCCCGGCGCCGCCAAAGCCAAGAAAATCAGCAAGGTGGAGACGCTGAAGCAGGCAGTGGACTACATCAGGTCACTTCAGGAGCTACTGGAGGACCATGACTCTCTGATGCGCCATACCAACTCCATCGTCGTGACCTCTGCGCAGTCCCCGGCGCCCAGGGCACAGTCTCTGCCCTACACCAACGCCGTTGCCCCTACCCAGTCCCAGTACCGCCTTATCCAGTACCCCAGTTATTACTACAGCGAGAACGTCTCTCCCGTGGCTGCGTCAGTGTACCCCATGAGCGTGGCGTCAGTCTCCCCGACGTGCAGCGACGCCGCAGCCTCCCCAACGCCGTCCTACGACTCGGCTTTCTCTTCGGCGGAGGCGGTGACGACGGTGGGCAGCGTGACGGACGTGTTCTCCCCCGTCACCGTCACCACCACCACCAGCACCACCACCTCCCTGCCGGACACACTCGACGTCCTAGATACCTACGACCCGGCCACCTCACCCGAAGACGAGGAATTGCTCGACGCCATCGCCCTCTGGCAGCAGTGTCAGTAGCAGGTAAGTTTTACCGCCAGGGGGGCAGTAACAGCAGCAGCAACTCTAGATGATTTGTGGCTCTTCCTGCCCGTAGAGCGTGACAGTTAGCGATACATAACGATTCTGTTTCCTGACAAACCTCACCTAACCTAACCGATACATTACGATACCCGGGTAGAGGAAGAGGCAATGAAACACTCTGACAGGAACACACGGAATGGTAGACATGGATAGGCATATATTAGCATGCAGAAATAGACAGATAAACACTAAGAGATAAGCAAGGAGCTTATAAAAAAAGACAGGTAACAGTTAGCTAGGCACTCTCAGGAGATAAACAGTCAAACGTCTAGACACTCTGAGGACATACAATCAAACATCTAGGTACTCAGAGAAGATAAGCAAAGATATATATTAGCCCCGCCGAAGAAACAGAGAGAGACAGAGAACCAAGCAGGCATAGACAGGGAGGACAGTGCCATCTTGTATCACTTTAGAGCAAGACAATGAATTATACTGCCGGATGATGGTGAGAGTTGTACATCTGGAATGATAGTGAGCTATACATTTTGTTGAGTTATACATTCTGGTGATGGTGAGTCATACGTTATGACGGAAGTGATGCGTAAGGATGATTGGGACACGGCTGTTTATCAAGAATGATAGTATATTGTACTTCAGAATGATAGTGAACTGCGCTTCAGGATGATACTAAAGTGTGCGTCAGGATAATAGCGAACTGTGCTTCAGAATGATAGTGAACTGTGCATCATATTGATAGTGAGTTAAACAACAAGATCATAGTGACAGTTGTATATCAGGATGATAGTGACAGTTGTACATCAGGTTGATAGTGATAGTTGTACATCAGGATGATAGTGACAGTTGTACATCAGGTTGATAGTGATAGCTGTACATCAGGATGATAGTGACAATTGTACATCAGGATGATAGTGACAGTTGTACATCAGGATGATAGTGACAGTTGTACATCAGGATGTTAGTGACAGTTATACATCAGGTTGATAGTGATAGTTGTACATAAGGATGATAGTGACAGCTGTACGTCAGGATGATAGTGACAGATGTACATCAGGATGATAGTGACTTGTACATCAGGATGATAGTAACAGTTGTACACCAGGATGATAGTGAGAGTCGTACATCAGGTTGATAGTGACCGTTGTATATCAGGTTGATAGTGACAGTTGCGCATCAGGTTGATAGTGATAGTTGTACATCAGGATGATAGTGACAGTTGTACATCAGGATGATAGTGACCGTTGTATATCAGGTTGATAGTGACAGTTGTACATCAAGATGATAGTGACAGTTGTACATCAGGTTGATAGTGATAGTTGTACATTAAGTGATAGTAACAGTTGTACATTAGGATGATAGTGACCGCTATACACCAGAATGATTTTGACAGTAACAAAAGAGGACGACAGTGAATTACACATAGAATCATAGTTATACACGTGAAGGATAGTTTTTATGTCAGAATGATAATGAGTGAATTTTTATATGTACAATTATGCGTATTAAAATAATGGTTTTAAAATTAACGTGAAATTAACGCGAATCTTGAACAAACGCTTATATGCAATACGATCACAGTACACAGTTGATATCACAGTATGCAGAATAACCACTGTGAAAAAAATAGTACAATTCCAACCGCTTTCTTGATTTCTCACATTATCAAGTGTTTGTATGTAAGCTTGGTGGGAATAAGACTTCATGGGTTGAATACCACATCTGCCACACCAAAGATTCGTTTTCCTTCGGCTGAGAAGAGGAGCGGACACAAGGAAAACTGTGGGCCATCTCGCAGAGAGGTGGGGGGGGGGGGTTAAAAAAATATTCGATAAAATCCCATTTGTAAAGAAAGGTTGATTTGATCAAGGTGTTCACCTCTGCCTTCCCGTACCTTTCGTTGATCCTGTAGGGAATTTAATAATGGCAGATGGGGAGAGGGGGGGGGGGATGCTACCCTGGGTTTCCTTCACCTCCGTAAGTCGCTTTAATCCCTTTCCATCAGAGGGACGGATGTGGTGATATTCACCTTTCCCTTTTCAAGCTTCCTACCTGCCTCACTACCTGGCGTGGAACTGGGCAGTGGCTTCCGGACTGTGAGAATGCAAAAGTGTGTGTGTCTTTGCTCTCACCTGTCCCTCCCATTCCTCGCCTCAAACCTGATTACCTTCCATTCCCCAGGGTACTGAACGCCTTCTACGGTTTTAGCTCTTTTTAATGTAGAAGTGAGGCTTCAGTCACATACACATGAAACACCTGTTAAGCAAAAGGCTAAGAGAAAAAGCTTTTGAATATTCAATGAAATAGTCGATTCGAAAGGACAGGTATTTTTGTATATACCAAACTAATGAAAATGATTTAGTTTACTGATAAATACCAAGAGTTACGAAATACCATACTAAGATCTTTTTAAAAAAATGTGCAGTGAATATTTCTAGTAAGAAAACATATTTTAACTCTCGAAGAAAGCATGAAAAACAAAACAAAATTTAACTGGTTGATAATACTGGAAAATTAAAATAAAAATCCATCCAGATCCTAAAGAGAGCATGACTGAACACAACAAAAAAGAAGAGCATTGCTTCTATTGGCAGGTGCGGAAGAAAATAGCTAATGAGGAAGTGTATCAGTGAAAGACTGGAACGTGCGCACTGGGTTGCAATGTATGGGACTTGAGAAGCGTGTTGCTCTTTGCTGATGACACTGTGTTTTTGGGTGATTGTGAAGAAAAGTTGCAGAGGCTGGTTGATGAGTTTGGTAGGGTATGTAAAAGAAGGAAATTAAAAGTGAATATGGGAAAGAGTATTCAGGTGGTGAAGGTGTGCAGCACATTGCAAAGGACAATAGCTGTGCATAGGTTGAAATCTATTTAAGAGAAACCTTAGGTGTCTAAATATACATAAACACACACACACACACACACACACACACACACACACACACACACACACACACACACACACACACACACACGAGTTGAAATAGTCGTCACAAAATCGTGATACCAGAGATTTCAACGCCGGAAGAAGTAGGAATCCTCTCTCTTTCTCTCTCTCTCTCTCTCTCTCTCTCTCTCTCTCTCTCGTTTTCACTAATCTTTTCTCCTTCTTATCAAGCAAGACATCCCGCGGCAAGACAGCATGCTACACCTAAGACAGAATTCCCGACACACGTCACATTTCTCGTGTGAACCCGTGAGAGTGCTGCTGGACGCCTCTCAACGGTCCTCCTTTGTACCGTCCCGCTGCCAGGGAGGTGTGGGATGACCCACCCAGCCCACCACAGCCCCACTCTCCTGCTAGACTCAGCCCACCACCACCACCCTACCACACCCAGAGCCCCACCCTGCCAGTCCCAGCCACCGTGGAAGCCCCAGCCACCATGGCAGCCCCAGCTACCCTGGCAGCCCCAGCCACCCTGGCAGCCCCAGTCTACCACCTCACCATCCGCCCAAACATATGTGCCCACATAAATTTTGATCACATTTCACCCCAAAAGAATAGCTTGTGTCCGTCGTGGGAAAATACACGTGAATTATATATATATATATATATATATATATATATTTTATATATATATATATATATATATATATATATATATATATATATATATATATATATATATATATCAAAAGAAAATAGAAATTGAGATTTTTTAAATTGTTGTAGTTGACCTGTTGTGTGTGTTTGCGTGTCCTCTTAAATCTGTGAAGGTTGTACAGTTCTTTACTCTATGTAAGGTAAAATGATGACTCTCATGCAATAATTGTGGTAATACGTCTTCCTTTTCTATGATTTTTTTTTACTCCTCTCCATCAGGAATCGTCACCATCACCACTGCTAGCTTCACCATCATCACTACTACTAGCCTCACCATCACCACTGCCACCACCATCACCACTGCCACCACCATCACCACTGCCACCACCATCACCACTGCCACCACCATCACCACTGCCACCACCATCACCACTGCCACCACCATCACCACAACTGTCAACGGCTCTACAACAATCTTCAGTTTCAGCAACACTAATAATTTTATCATTAATATCACCACTACTGCTGGTTGACATTATCACCACCACCACCAACACACATCATTATCACCACCCCCACCACCACACACCATTGTCACCACCACCACCACACTTACCATTATCACCGCCCCCACCACCACAGACAATTATCACCACCACCAACACATACCATTAACAACACCACCACCACCAACACACCATTATCACCACCACCAATACAATCCCCTTCACCATCATCATATTAACCATTATCAACACCACCACCACCACCACCACCACCACCACCACCACCACCACCACCACCACCACCGCATTCACCACCACATCCACCTCCATCACCAACATCCCTGCTACTATCAATACCTGCATCACCTCAACAACCACCACCATGATAACCAAAATTACCTTCACAACCACCAGCAACACCACCACCACCACTACAGCAACAACCACCACCATTTATACTACAATGACCACAATTACCACTATTATTACCTCTTCCACCACCACCATCACCACCACGGCACGCGTCCTGTCCCCTCCTCCTCCCACTTCACTCCCATCCCTCCACGAGTCCCTCCTAATTTACCTCCACTTCCCCACCACATGGCCGCCGCCCGTGCCATTAATGGTGGGGGTGTGGAGAGTGGTTGTCGTGGGTGGTAGGGGTGGGAAGAGTGGTTGTCATGGGTGGTGGGGGTGGGGAGAGTGGTTGTCATGGGTGGTGTGGGTGGGGAGAGCAGTTGTCGTGAGTGGTGATGGAGTAATGGTGGTATTAGTGGTGGTATTAGTGGTGGTAGTGATGTTAGTGGTGGTAGTGATGGAAGTGGTGGTAATAATGGTTGTCATGGGTGGTGTGGGTGGGGAGAGCAGTTGTCGTGAGTGGTGATGGAGTAATGGTGGTATTAGTGGTGGTATTAGTGGTGGTATTAGTGGTGGT